GCACATACCTATATAGCCCATATATGGCAGTGCCCCCCCCCCCCCTCCGGGGAACCATTTTGACTGGAAGTTTTTCTTTGGCCGTCCACATTGAATTTTGATTCAAATGGCGAAAGTGTGTCAGAAATATAAATATTAAAGAGGGGCTTTAAAAATTACGATGTGCTACTCTGTTCCACAAATTGGCGTTGCCATTATTCAGTGTAAACTAAAAACTCCATGATTTTAAAATCTGAGGCTTAGCCTGGGCGCTGAAAAATGTTCGGACATACGACGGCAAAGAATTTCGCACCAATGCGGGAAAGAAGAGAGACCCTGGGAATGAGGTTGACCTGTAAGAGACTGTGTTTGAATTAACCATCATGCTTAGAGGGTAAATATTCCTGGTTATCCGCCATATTGTCCTACACGAAACACTGTTTAGTACTTTTTAAAGAGTATTTTGTTTTCGAAGATTGAAGCAGCAACCCTGACAGCAAAATGTTGCTTCAACGAGCATTCAGGCTGGGTTTAGTTCGGAGATCCATGGCCACTGGACATGGACACAGCACAGAGTCTACTGGGATTAAGTTGGTAATATTGTACGATGTATATTGAATATTGCACTCTTTCGTGTATCGTATTTATTTCCCGTAGAACTGGCTCTAATAGTAAAACAGTTACTGTTTAATGACAAAAGTGTGATCTATGATCAGTGTTTTTTAGATCAATTAAGTTGTAAACTTAAGTGTGTATTTTTTGGAATCACCTCTTATTCTCTGTTCCGTTTATGCAATAACTATATTAGTTAGACTTATAAAGCCAAAACCAAACGAATTACTTACCAGTTAAACTAATCAGCCAATCTCAAACTGTAGTTAAACCAAAACCAAAGTAATTGCCAGTTTACCTTTGGCGCTCAACTGAAAACTTCTCTATCTTCAGGACATTATTGTTATGTTATCGAAATGGCTAAGATTTGTAAACCACGGTGATTTTTTGGTGCAATTTTACTATACCTGGCAATTCTGAAGGCGTAAGGTATGCATTACCTTGGTACGCAGTCCGTAGTCCTACAGTCTACTAACGCATAATAAGAAAACATTTGTATGCCACGGCTTTCCATGGTCCATAGTTGATAAACTTGAAAGTAAGGCACAAAGATTTTGATTCTCTGCTTTGGCAGTCCAGGGTTCATGGTCCATAGTTGATAAACTCAAAGTATAACTTATAGATTTTGATTTTCTTGCAACTGGCAATGTAGTATTTGTTGCATTTCTGCATTGCATTGCAAATTGCTAAATGAAAAGCTTTGTGTAAGTAGGGCTTTGTTCAAAGTTGTTTCACATAATACTTCTATAAGTAATAGTAATTGGACCGAGTGGAGTACAATTCAGGGAGTAATCATGGGAGTAATTTGAAAATTGGACAAGCATGAAGCATGAGGCTGATTTGAAATTACAAGCATGATTACTCCCTGAATTGTACAACACGAGGTCCAAGTACTGATTAATTGTATCTATAACAAATTTCGGAATTCAAAATGTCTTTTGAGAACTTCTTTTGAGCAAAAACCTTTTGAAAACTGTAAGAAACAGGGTGAAGGAAGCCATTGTTTAAAAGTGAGCATAATTGATGTGCAACTCATGTGGGTATCCAATTACAGGTATCCAATTACAGGTATCCAGTAATGAAAAGTTCAAATTGGATACCTGTAATTGGATACTCACATGATTACACTCGGATTGCATGACAAATTGGCATGTGGAGAACCAATCACGATCAAGAATTTTGTTATAAATACTATTGTTTGTGAAATTGTTTCCCATCAGACACCTGTTCAGCAACTTGGAGTCTTTACTGCTATATTCTGTGGAGTTCTGGGGCCTGGGATCCTTCTGATGCTGACCCGTGAAAAACCACTCAGTGAACACTGATGCTGGATTGTTGCTGTGATGTCATTAATGCTGAAAGACAAACTGACACATTTTGTCTATATTAACTGTTGACGTGTGGTTGTGTGACTAAATTTGAATGAAATATAAAGAACTTATGATGTATTTTGTGGCTGATGCCATTGTTATTTGCCTTGTATAATGTATAATTGCTGATGGTTTAAACTGTTTTTGAATGTAATGTTACAGTGCTGATATTTTTTCTGTCACAGTCTGAGAAAGATATGTTTCCTGGTTTGTGAATTTTCTTCAAAATTGTAATGAAGTGCATTAAAATTACTATGGAAGCTTGTTTTTATGGCTGAACAATGTGCTATCACTTGACGTGAGAATGAGTCAGACTGAGTAATGCTGACTGTGAGGGGTGAGTGATAAAATTGTTAACATCAAGAAGTATATTCTTGGTGGTGGTTAGTGCAGTTAGGTTCGAGCCCTGGCCGGTGTTCTTTGGCGAGACACTTTACTGTTGCAGTGCCTCTCTCCGCCCAGGTGTGTAAAAGGGTACCAGCAAATTTAATGCTGGTGGCAACCCTGCGATGGACTAGCATTCCATCCAAGGGGGGATTAGAAATACCTACTCCTAGTTGCTTCAGTCTACAGAAACCGGAGATGAGCGTCAGCCTGATGGGCCACTTGGCTTGTATATAGCCTGTGTTGCAGCCGGATGTGTCATAAAATCCCTGATATAGTCCGTCAAAGAAGATTTGACGTTTAATAATGTACAAATGTACAAATATACTTGGGAAACCTGCACAAAATTATTTTTAGCATTACGTGATAGTTGCATGATCACTTTTGCGAGAATTATCCAATCGGAAACAGTGTAAGAAACTAGCCAATCAAAAATGGATACACAAACTGCGGGATATCAGAACAAGCTTTTGGGAGCTGTTGCGCAGACGGACTGTACCGGCGGTTTNTGTAAGAAACTAGCCAATCAAAAATGGATACACAAACTGCGGGATATCAGAACAAGCTTTTGGGAGCTGTGGCGCAGACGGACTGTACCGGCGGTTTAGACTGTCTGCGACACAGGTTACTTGTATACAGTCTTAACCTTGCTATTGAACCCTTGGTAACATCTTGCCACTTGTTGCCAGTGAATTGCTCCATTTTCATGTTCCCTCTACGTGGCTCACAGGGTATATGCTTGAGGGCTGAGTTTAACAGCAAAACCTAATCACACATGCAACACCTCTATGATATCAATATTTTGTTTTGTGTAAAGCAAACCTACAACTTTGCTTGCGATTGTTGTGTTAGACATCAAAAAGTAAGAGTCTGAAATGTTTGAAATACATACCCCTCCCACAGTATTTTGGCAATCATGATAATTTGTTGAATGATGAAAGTTACATGTGATTTTTACATGATGCAAGCAGTGCATGCTACAAAAGTTGCCTACAGCAAAGTTACTCAGGATAAATTGGCCCTTATAAAACTAAGAATAAGATGTTAGAATGGTAGCCTTCAAATGGTTAACTTGTTTGACTCCAAATTGAGCAGTCTTGGCTCTGGCTTAGACCAAGGCCATCTTTACATTTAATTTGTACCTCTTTCCATCCAGAAGTGTGATTAATTAAAGATGAACTGAAAGATGACTTGGCAAAAAGCTCAGAAGTAAGAAAAATTTTGGGTCCCCTCCTTTTTAACAAGATCTTTTCTACCACTGTGTTCTAGCACAACAGTGTCATTTGACAACAACTACCAGAATTTATATGTTTATTATTATTATTATTATTATTATTATTATTATTATTATTATTATTATTATTATTATTTTATTTTATTTTTTTGTTTAAATTTTGAAAACCCAAATTATGGGGTTTAAATAACAATTGCCCTAATCAGCATGAGAAACAGGAAAAATGAAGGATTCTGGTAGTTGTAGTCAAATGATGTCATGATGTAAATCCTATTCATAGCTCACAAGATCTCACAAGACTTACGTTAGTAGTTTTGGGCAATTTTGTGAATTCAAGTCAGTGATGTAAAAAGAAATTTCTTTTCAAGAGCTATTGAATCTTTTGAAATATAAGTTACTTTTTTCTTGGTAATCCACAACTTTTTTAAAGGAAAAGCCCAATGTTTTTTACATGTATGTCTCCAGTACTTACTCTACCCCACCCGGCTTAGGAAAATTGTAAAGTCCCTTCGTTGTATCCCGTAAGCCCTTGCGGTCAAATATTTCCCGCTAAATGAATCCAAAATACGAACAAACATGGCGGCTAGTTTTCTGAATGGAGAGAAAATTTGTGAGGTTGCTGGCGACGTCAGATGGTCGAGTGTGGAAAATGTCAATTTGGCTTATAATTCTGGATCATTAGTTCTTTACAAGCTTAGTAGCAGTTATTACCTTCATGCTATAACAGTGTTTAAACGAATCAAGGTGAAGTGATCAAAACCTTTACTGCTTAACCTTATGTAGGAGTGCACTCTGTCAAGCTTATTACGTTTGTGCACGTAAGCTTATGGTACAGGATGTTTTTGTATTTAAGATTTAATATGTCTCGTTTTCATATTGAGAAGTATGTGGCATACTCGGCCATTGTCTTTTCAAAGACAATTTATCGGTTCTTCGAATATGGAAGATTTGAATGGAAAATATCAGCTTCAGCTCGATATGAGAGCGAACTTTTAATAATTTTGGATAGAGGAAACGTCGCATAGACCTTGGGTAAGAATTATAGTTTGCATTATTCACCAGCCATCTTGACTTGGCAGGTTAACGTTGCAAGATAGTTTGACGAGTTTTATTTACAAGCTGAATTTCCTAGGAATCGAATGTCTGAGTCGTGATAATTAAACAGTTGCTGCTGTCATTGTCCACACTTCTGATAATTGGCATATTTGCAGTTTCATTGCATTCTGACACAGCGTTATACAGTACGACAAACATGATTATATGTGTATGTTGTAATGTGTAGTTCCGGAAAATATCTATGCGTCCCTGAAGAAGAGATTGTTTTTCAAAGACTCCCCCAAGCCTGTGGAGATTTCATTCAAAGATGATTTCCAGAGTAAGTAGTTGCAAAATGTTCACGTTTTGTGATGTCTTACAATTAAACAAAACAAAAAAAGCAAACAAACTCTCAAGAGTGTGCAGTACAGACTGGAAATCATACACTTCTCTATTTTTTTTGGTTGGTCTTACAGAACCCCCTTCCTCCAACCCCAGGAATTTCTAATTCCCTCTGAGAAGGGCATAGGGACATTTTCTGGAAAGTACATGTATACAATGTGGAGTCTAATAAATAAAAGTGGGTTTTCCGTAATGCATGAGCATTGCCCTAAGCTGACAGACACAGTAAGAAGTTGACAGTAAGCGCCTTTTGTTAGAACAATTTTGCCAACCAATTGTAGTACTTAACAGCACAACCCTGCATCTGCTAGACTTAACACAAGTCCTTTTCTTAAGTAAGTTGCTAGAGGTCGACTTGTTTCACTTGCACGGATGTGAATAAGAGCGTAAATTTTTGGCGTGAAAAACATGATTGACATTTCTCACTTTTCATGAGTTCCGTGCGCAATCATCGCAAAAGCGGAAAGTGATTTCCGTTAAAACATTTACAAGTACTGTTCCCTAACACAAATGAATTAATTTGTGTTAAGCACAGTATGTGGTCAGCAATACAGACAAACGGCAAAACCTGTTCCATTGAGTAACCCCTCCTGAAAGGACAAAAGCGTGTTTAAACCGATCGATTATTGTTAGTTTTAGTCTAGATTAACCAGCGATCGACCAGAGAGCTGCCTGACGAATGCCATAAACTTATGTAGATCTAGCTTGTACCGACAAGAATCCGAATTAACTAAAGAAGACAGAATAAGTCAGGGAGAACTTTAATTCTGTAAAACTCCCTTCATTCCATATTGATGAGAATTGAAGTCGCAACGAACGGCAGAGAATTAAAGCGCTGTTCCCAAAAGTCCTTCATTGATCGACGACTGCTTTCAACATGGTAAAACAGCTGAGGCAAATTTGCTGCGATGCCCTTCCTTTGTAAAGAAGAAACTTGGTCATTCATTAAATCAACTAAAAGTGCAAAAATTACACAAACTGCAGGAACGGCTCTGTTCTTCTTCGAAAGGTCGAACAATCCTGTTCTCAGATCGTGTCCATAAACAAACACGTATTAGTCAGATACATAGCCCTCCACTGCTTTTGCCTGTCCTTCTTTTTGAGACTTGAAATTAAGTTGAATAGACCATATTCAATTGCTTCCATAAAATTCATATCCTTAAGTATACCCAAGAACAAAAGCTAAATGAAAAAGATTTTTATAGTACTTGGACTCGGCAAACATTTGCTCTGCAGTTTGCTTTGCAAGTTGTGTCGTTGATCACATGCGACGTCATGACATATAGTCAGTACTTGTTTGTTCATTGGTTAATGTGCATTTACGTCACCAGTGGAAAAATCCGCCAGTAAATTTGGCGCGCTACAAGTGGGAGAAGTCCTTTCCAACATCGAAACCAACAGGCCAGGGAAGAATTATTGGAAAGGACTTTTAGAAAGTCTATGCATCTGCATATGTTGCTTATGCTCATGCTTATGTGTGAGTGATTAAGACTTGTGGGTCACTGTCGCAGATGCTTTGATATCCTAAGTGGAATTCATGTTCAGAGTCAAGCAAACAGTTGTTTTCTCATTGGTATTAATTAAGTCTCTTAATAACCTCAGTCTATTTTTTCTTTTTTACTTTCAGTTCCCTCTAAAGCCAGATAAATTTGATTTTGTAAGCCGTGAGTCACAGTTAACGTTATCAATAGCAAGAGAAAACAAAGCTGCAGCATCTGTTCACTTGCAAGAGGCAGTTCCTCATCAGCTGGCGAGATTTCTAGATTCCTTAAAGGGTGTTCAGGCATACTTTGCTTCCTTTAAAGGTAAGAAATATAGAGAAGTTAAAATATTTTATTATTGCCACAAAATTGTGGTACAAGGTGTAAATTTTAACACTTAGTTCTCACGTCTTAGTTGTACTCACAGTGGAACTCCGCCTTACGGTTACCTCATTAATACAGTCACCTCATTATAATGGCCAGTCTTTTTTGTCCCAGCGAAATGCCCATACATTTTCTTATATGGAAACCCTGTTAATCCAGCCACCCTGTCTGTCGATATGGCCAACAGCTACATTCTGAAATCCCAACCAGTATAATCCTCTATAATTTTACCCCGTTAATGCTGTCACTCAAACTAGTTATGTTCATCTTTCCAGTGTTAATATTGCATGAACTGATTGAAGTTTCAACATTTTAAAATTATACCTGCATTTTAAGAAGAATTGTTTAGAAGTGCAATTGTGAAGACTGTCAAGATGTCACTTAAAACTCAATAAAATAGACCAGTCATGAAATTTGACCCTGCCCTGTTAATATGGTAACCCTGTTAATACTTTCAAAGTTTCATGTTCAGTAAGTGACTGTATTAACGTAGGGTTCGTACAGGTCATGGAAAACCTGGAAAGTCATGGAACTTAAATACGGGCCATGGAAAGTCATGGAACTTAAATACGGGCCATGGAAAGTCATGGAAAAGCAATATGCGATACAAAAAATCGGAAAAAATAACGGATGATTGTGAAACAGGCTTTAATTTCAGTACAAATTGACACAAGCACTCAGTTTATCCATTACAATGCTGGAAATACGTTAAATAAGTGATTGTTTTGATTCTACTGTGAGAATAGCTACTTAACTTTGGTCACAGAAAACTCAGAAAAGTCATGATAAAGGTCATGGAAATTCATGGAATTTTGAAAGATTAAAAGAGTACGAACCCTGTAATGGGGTTCCACTGTATTGTATTGCTAGCTTTCTCCAGTTCCCTTGTGTGATACCTTTCTAATAGGATGTCCCACTAAATGGTATCACATCAGTATGACATATGATTCTCGTAGTTGTGATTCACAACATTACAATCTCATTGTAAACTGCTCCCAGATTCTTTGAACTGCAAATGAACAGAATTGCACTCAATCCACAAGCAAAAATGGCATCAATCAGTCTTTCTATATAATTTCTCTGGACAATATAATCCCTAATGGGTTATTCCAGAAAAAATACTCTCCCCCCCCCCCCCCCCCCCCCCCCCCCNAATCGGATTATTCAAACGATTGTGTTTAACGTTTGAGTGATCTCACACTCTCCTCTAAAATGCCATTTGCCTTTTTCTGTACCACAACAAATGTACAAGATAAAAAATTCATAAGTCTTAAAAATTATGTTAATGTAAGAAAAATTACGGCGAAAAAAGTCCTTAAGGTGATTATAAATAAAAACTATAATTTCAGTTTTTGGTGATAAGACAACCTACATTGGCACGTGTTTACAAGATCAAGTTCCCATTGTTAGGACTGTTAGTGTGGTATTTACTTAAGGTTATTAAGAAAGCTCTTCAAACTAGACTAATTTTAAGTTTCGTAACCTTTATGGGTGTGTAGGTCAACTAGAACTCTTGCCTTTCTTTCAAGCATTCAAGTTTTTATGCGTGATGCCCACGTTCTGGCTTCCAAAAACTTGTCTTTTACCATATCGATCGTTATTTCAGTGGTGCTCAAAAGCATCGAAAAAATAAATCCTTGCCTGTGCTCATGCAAAAATATTGGGGAATATCGCGGCATTTACAATGAGAATAATTTTGGACAACCTGGATTCTACAAGAAAAGTAATTGTTTCGGCGGATCAAATTATTTTGCATGGCAGTGTCGTATCCACGATTTTATGGTTACACATTGTAAGAGCAGGGCTTGACACTAACACTTCCCCGTTCACCGTTGGAGAGTAAAATAAGTTGAGTGGAAAGTAAAAAAACAAAATCAACCAAAAATACTNTTTGTTTGTTTGTTTGTTTTTTCAAGGGCCACACCGAGTCTTCCATCTAATTTCTACGCAAAGCAGATGAATCCACCATCGTCTTACAGCAGCTCACAGAATAAGAAAACACCCCTTGTAGATCGAACTTTTGCAAGAGGTTGGTAGCTCTGCATCTTAACACTGTTCAAAATGAAAGGATTCGTTCATGTATTCACAACCCTGTCAAAATGTGTTGTATCAGTATGCTGGATAACAGAAGTACATAGTAGGCCCTGGCAGGGGGGGAGAGGTATGGTACTTCCTTTTATTATATGGCTAGCTCCGTGAGTGAGCAAGATGAATCAAATCCTGC